AAATGGCTGATAGGCACATGAAAAGATGCTTAACATCATCAACTATCAGAGAAATGCAAATAAAAACAACAATGAGGTATCACCTCACACCAGTCAGAACGGCCATGATTAAAAAGTCCACAAATGATAAATGTTGGAGAGGCTGTGGAGAAAAGGGAACCCTCCTACACTGATGGTGGAAATGTAGTTTGGTGCAGTCACTATGGAAAACAGTACGGAGATTCCTTAAAAAACTGAAAAAAAGACTTACCCTGTGATCCAGTATTCCCACTCTTGGGCTTATATCCAGAGCAAACTCTAATTTGAAAAGATATATGCACCCCAATGTTCATAGCAGCACTATATACAATATCCAAGACATGGAAACAACCTAAATGTCCATCAATCTAAATGTCCAAGGACTGGATAAAGAAGTGGTGGTATAGTCATACAATGGAATACTACTCAGCCATAAAGAAGAATAAAACTAATGCCATTTTCAGCAACATGGATGGACCTGGAGATGGTCATTCTAAGTGAAGTAAGCCAGAAACAGAAAGAAAAATACCATATGATAGCAGTCATATGTGGAATCTAAAAAAAGAAGACACTAATGAACTCATCTACAAAATAGAAATAGACTCGCAGACATAGTAAACAAACTTACGGTTACCAAGGGGGACACAGGGTGGGAAGGGATAAATTTGGGAGTTAAAGGTGTGCAAATATTAACTACTATACATAAAACTAGATAAAAAATAAATTTCTTCTGTATAGCACAGGGAACTATACTCAAAATCTTGTAATAAGTTTTAATGAAAAAGAACATGAAAACAAATACATAAAAATTAAATAAAATTCCTAAGGAATCAACAAAATAACTATTAAAACTAATAAACAAGTTCAGCAAGTTTGCAGGATACAAGTTCAATACCCAAAAAGGCAGTTGTGTTTCTATACTCTTGCAATGGATAAACTGAAAAGGAAATTAAGGAAGCAATTCATTTACAACAGCATCAAAAAGAATATAATACTTAGACACTACTGTCAGAAACTTGTAAGACTCAAATAAATGGAAAGAAATATTCATGGATTAGATAACAACATTGTTAAATGGTAATACTCTCAAAACTCATCTTCAGATTCGACCCAATCCCTATCAAAATCCTAGCTGTCTTTTCTGAAGAAATTAATGGGCTAATCCCAAAAGTCACCTGGAAATGCAAGGGACCCAGAATAGCCAAAACAATCCTGAAAAAGAACAAAGTTTTTGAAGTCACACTTCTTGACTTCAAATCTTACTACAAACATACAGCAACCAAACAATGTGGTAACGGTACAGGAACAGGCATAAAGATCAATGGAACAAAACTGAGAGTCCAGAAATAAACCCTAACATTCACAGTTAAATGATTTTTGACAAGTGTGCCAAGATAAGTCAACAGGGGAAAGAATAGACTTTTCAACAAATGCTGCTTCGACAGCTAGGTATTCACATGCAAAAGAATAAAACTGAATCCTTTCTCTGCACCACACACAAAAATTAACTCAAAATGGATCATAGCCCTAAATGTAAGAGCGAAAACTACATAACTCTTAGAAGAAACTGCAAGTGTAAATATTCACAGCCTTGGATTAGGCAGTGCTTTTTTAGATATGACACCAAAAAACACAAGCAATGAGAAGAAAAATATAGGTAAACTGGACTTCATCAAAATAAAAAACTTCAGTGCTTCAAGGGACACCATTGAGAACATAAAAAGACTACCCACACAGTGGGAGAGAATATTTTTAAATCATACATCTTATTAAGGGACTTGTATTCAGACGCTATGAAAACTTCACTAGTCAACAATAAAAAGACAAATACCTCAATTTAAAAATGGGCAAATATTTGAATAGACGTTTCTCCAGAGAAGATACACGTCTGACCGATAACTACATGAAAGACGCTCACCATCGACCGTCAGTAGGGAAATGCACATCGAAACCACGATGAACTACTACTTCGAACCCACGAGGTTAGCTATAATCAAAAAGATGGCGAATAACAGGGTGAGTGAGAAGGTGGAACGCACTGCTGGGGGGAATGCAAAGCAGTGCAGCTGCTTTGGAAAACAATTCGGCAGTTCCTCGAAGAATGAGAGATACTATATGATCCAGAACATTCCTAGATGAGAAATGAAAAGTTACATCCACACAAAACACTTATATCCTAGTGTTTATATCAGCATATTATTACTCATAATAGCCCAAAAGGTGGAAGGAATCTAAATGTCCATTAACTGATGAACAGTCACAGAAAATGCGGTCCATCTGTACAATGGAATATCATTCAGCCATAAGGAGGAAGGAAGCACTGACACAAGATATAACAGGAGGGACCGTGAAAACATTATGCAAAGTGAAAGAAGCCAGTCACCAAAGCCCACTTATATGAGCCAGAGCGTAGGAAATGTCCAGAAGAGGCAAATCTAGAGAGATAGAAAGTAGACTAGTGGTTGCCTAGGGGCTAGAGGTAGAGATGGGAGTGACCGATAATGAGCACAGAGTTTGTTTTTGCAGTGATTAAAAATGTCTGGAATTAGTGGTGATGGCTGCACAATATATATCTGTGAATATATTAAAAAAAAAAACACTGACAACAGTTTACACGAGTGAATTTTATGGTATGTTAACTGTATCTCAATAAAGCTGTTAGTAAAAAACAAACAAGCAGATGCAGAATGAAAGGTTTGTGTTTCTTCTGCTCTTTCCAAATCTAAGGGTTTAAATCAATATTTACTTTATATTAACCTAAAGGTTAAGAGACTGTTAGTTGCCAGAATATTATTTCACTATACACTATAAAAGGTTATAATAACACAAACTAATGTTAGTAGAAAATAACTTTCACTAAAGCCGACTTTACATTTAATATAAATGTTAATAATTAAATTCAACAAATATCTTGCATTTGTTACACTGACTCAGTGCCTGGAGTTTTACAGATGAGTATTCATTTACACATTCAGTAATCTTTAGCTGGAACCCAGGGCAGATTTAGTGAAAATATTCAATATTAAACTCACAAAGGATGATCTTTTGCTTTGATATTCTAAATAAGATTGAGGATCAAAAAATTTTAAATCATCTACCTGCTGCAACACACACACATACACAGACAGACTTGTCAGAGGAACTCACATGAGTAAGAAACATTTCCATTTGAGAATATGTACCTATGCAATTAAAAAAGGTGGATCTTTCCACCTCATGGCATAAAAACATTTACTTACCAAAGCTAAAATAGGTTCAGAATAGACATAAAAATGCTCCTGTTTTAACTAACCTTCCCGTAAATGAACACAACTCATAATTATTCTTAACAAAACAGGCTGACATATGTATCCACCCACACTACTACAGCTCTGGAATCTTGACTAATTGGAATTTTTTCCTAGTCCCAAAGCAAGGTGAGGCAGAAGGCTGGGAGCCTCGTCCCCTGTAGGGAAATACTGCTCTGGTAAGTTAGGCCAAGCACAGCACCTGCCACCTTCAGTCCTAGGGACCTCTAAGAGTAAAGCCATGGGCTGGATAAGACTTGGATCTTAGCCCTGAATCTTCCACTTTGGGCAAATCATTTCACCCCCTAGAGGTTGAGTCCCTCATCTCTTTATTTATACTTCACCATGTTCCCTAAAAGATGTGATGTAGGTGTGTTTCAGTTTATCTGTTAAAAAAAGTGAGGGTCAAAAGGAGGGGTAATATGTTCACACAAAAATTTGCATACAAATGTTCACAGCAAAGTTATTCATAATAGTCAAGAACCAGAAACACTCAGATGCCCATTAGCTGATGAATGGATAAACAAAACATGGTACATTCACACAATGGAACATTATTCAGTCATAAAAATGAAGTGCTAACAATTCTGCCTTAAATGCCACAGTACAAAAAAAGAAGAATGTGGTTTTTCTGCGTTTGATTTTTTTAAAAACAGTAACAGTGCTGGTAGCTGTGAGTTACATACGTTTATGCAGAGAGAGCGCAGTTTCCTATAGTTACAAAAAAAAAAAAGTGTCAACACTTCCCAAGTATGCTAGGATTCCTAAACTCATTTTCTAATACAGAAAATGTGATATTTACTGGCTTTTTTTTTTTGCACTTCTCAAGACCGAAATGGTGTGTACATTTGATTCACATGTACTTAAAAATGTAAACTCTGCAGCTGAAAGAAAAGGTCCCCAATGTTCAGATAACTATGTTTTCTTTTTCTGACTACATATGGTGTTGATACAATCATTTATTTTATGAATGTTTTCTTTAAAGTACTGTTCTTTTTGACATTAAAGTTTTCATTGTACTACATTTTTCATATAAGACCAAATCCACTAGTGCCTTTTACAGTGTTTTTCCCTCATGGGGCCACTTAAAGAAGCGGCTATCATTTTGAATTTACACCCTGCCAAAGATAACATAGAAATTACACATATTTTCGTTCTTGTTAAAACTCTGTGAGCAACATTTAACAAGATACCATGTTAGATGGCTGGCATTCTCTGGGTACTAAATAAAAAGGCTACAATTTTCTAATGCTAAAAAAAAAAAAGAACGAAGTACTGATAATGTTACAACATGGATGACTCTTGAAAACATAATGCTGAAGTGAAAAAGCCAGACACGAAGGCTACATATGAGATTCGATTTATGTGAAATGTCCAGAATAGGCAAGTTTATAGAGACACAAAGTAGATGAGCGGTTGCTGGCGGATAGGCGGTTGGAGAGTTGGGGGCCGGAAGTGAAGGGTGTCAGCTAAGGGTGCAAGTTTTAATTGGATGCAATGAAAATATTCTACAGTTGATTGTGGTGATGGTCATGCATCCCCTGTGAATATACTGAACTATACATTTAAATGCGTAAATTGTACGGCATGTGAATTATATCTCAATAGAGCTGTTGGAAAAAAATGAAGCCACTGGATCAAAACCCTAGGGTCTTTTCCAGCTCAGTCAATGATTCAACAGGGTTCCCTGCTCACCTGAGGTTTGGAAGTCTATCTCAATAGGATTGGAGAGACTGGTCGCTGCTTCCCGCCACAGGCTGCCCCTGACAGGAGACCAGGCCGTCACCACGCAGCGGTACAGCCCTGCATCCGAGACCTGAGTCTGGTACATTCGGTAGCGAAATTCATCTTCCTGCACTTTCTCTAACACCACACCATCCACCCGCGACGCATCTGTCCAATTCTCCAGCTTCACCACAGAATCCTGGTCCAGGGAAATGATGTACTTGGTTTCATTGGGACTGGAGAGGTCCCCAACAGGCTTCTCAGCCGTGATGAGAACGGAGTAGCGTGGTGACTTAATATTTTTGGAAGACACTTTGCAAGTCATCTCAAATGTATTTCCTGCAGCAAAGAAAGGCTTTGGCTGCCTCGCCTTCACCACAAGCACGGAATCTGCAATGAAGCACCAGAAAGGGGTGATTTCTAACAGGATTAGCTAAATGGGTACGTATCTGAAAGCACAATGTCAAGGAAACAGGAATTTATTTGCAAACTGCCACACAATAGCATTTCAGACAATCTGGAAACCCAGAAAGAAAATCATGTGTACTAGTAAGCAGGCTGAACACCACCACGCGGGAGGAAGAGGAGCAGTCTGAAATGATTTAGTGGGAATGAGGGAGGAGGGGATCGATGGGTGGGAATTTGGTTTTAAGGATTTTCAAGTCCTTGAGAAGTTTCACACAGAGTGAGAATTGGGGAAGCTACTGGTGCCCCCAAGGATGTGAAGGAGAACTCGCTTCTAGCGACCTGGGGGAGATGTGGCTTCAGGAGACGCTGCTTGCCTCTCCCTCCTGAGGCTCCGCCGGGTACAGGGGAAGCACCATTAGATTAACCAACAGGCTTGAAAGAGCAGAGCAAGGGAGAAATGGGTCCTCTCTCTGCTTAATCCTATGATGGTAATGTTACAGAAGAGACGATCATTCCATTGATCGAGGCATCTGCTTGTAGATCTAGTCATTTCCTCAGAGATGCTGTTTGAACGTTTTGAACAAGTGCCCATGTCTGTCCTACCTTAAGGTTTAAGGGTGTTCCTCCCTGCCTCTCTGTCAAAAAAAATAATCCCTAAGCAAATACACATTAGAATTCATCGATATTATAGTAATTCAATGTCAGGCACTTAAGAGGTACAGAAATATCTGTTGAATGGATGGGCAAAAAAATTAAGCACATCCTTTTTATCCTTTAATGAGATAATTCTAGAATCCATCCAGTTATAAAATAAAATTATGTTGGGTTCTTTGGGGAACAGCTGTTCCACCAAGCCTATCAGGAGCACACGTATGTTAGGGGGTCTCTCCGGAGTCACTGACTCCTGAGGGTCCACTGAGCCGTTCACATTCTTTCTTGGAATTCAAATTTGTGAGATTAGAAGAAATAGCCAAAGGTTAAAGAGATAAAAATAAGTCCAAAAACTAGGTCTGAAGGCAGTCTAATGTTGGAGGGTCAGGAAAATGAAGAGAAACCAACAAAGGAGGCCAAGAAGAAGAGCTACGAGGCTGGAGAGAAGCCTACAGAGGGTGGTGTCCCACAAGCCAAGGAAAAACCAAAGTATTTCCAAGAAGAGGAAATGATCACCAGTGTTAAGTCCTGCTAAATCAAGCAAGATGACTAACAACTGGGTTTTGTCATATGTCCATCTCTAGTAATTATAACATGAGCAGTGGTGTGGGAAGGGTGGGGGGCCAGGTTAGAGCAGATTAGAGAGAACAGGAGGAGAAAAACCGGAGACACTGAGTACAGACAAATCAAATCCTTTGGCCGTCAAAGGAGAAAAACAGAAATGGTGGACAAAGAGAGAGGGGACCAGAAAGATGGAGGGGGAAGTGAGATCAAGATTAGTTCAGCTTTAAAAAAAAAACCAACAAAACACAACAAGAGGTCTAACAGCACGTTAATAGGCCAACGGGAAACTGGGAGTGAGCTAGAAAGATGGGAGTGTGTTCAGAGGACAGGCTGCTTGGAGCTGAGGATGGAGGGCTCTCAGTTATCAGAAGTGAGATGTCTAATGTAGGGTGTGAGCTTGGGAGAGAATAACCCAAAGTGGACAAAGGTCATGATGACTAGAGAGGAGGGCACGGGTGGAGAATGATTAGGGTTCTCAACCTTGGATGCACACGAGAACCATCCTGGGAGCATCTAAAAATTCCAGTGCCCAGACTGCACATAACCTCAGGCCAATTAAGACAGACTCTGGTGGGACTCCAGCATCAGTATTTTTTTAAAGCCTCTTGCATGATTCCAATATGCAGCCAATGTGACCCCATGCTGACACAGTGGAGCCAGCAAGAGAGGAGGAGTGCTGGAGAGAGTGGTTGGGAAGCTAGAGTGAGCATCTTTACACACTCTGAGAGTGAGGAGGACCCAGGAGTCGACAGGTGACAGTAATGGAAGGAGGTGGAAGGATCCGATGACAGGAGAAGATGTGTTCAGGAAGGAGGGAAAGGGGTCTGGAGGCCACAGTGGGGGACCAGGCGGGCACCTGCCCCATCCGGGCCCAGTGTGGGAAGAAAACACCACCACCTTGAAAGGCTGCAGGGGCAGTAGTGTCTTTGAGGAGAGCAAGGTTGGCCATGCTCACTGTGAGAAAAAGAAAGGAGCATTCAGAGATGAGGTCAGGAAATGGGAGATTCTGCTAAATTCTAGAGGGCCCATTGTGGCGTTTGGGGATATCAGAGGGGGGGCAGTGAGGCACCAGAAATGTGGAGAGGGCTGTATGGTGCTTCGCCCTGGGGGCACGGAGGAGGACCGAGGGGGCCCGGGCTTCCTGGGCTGATGGATTAGATCAGGGATAAAACACCTGACAAGGCTGACGTCCCAAGGCAGACAGCGCTCTGAGCGTTCAGATGGAGATGCATCAGAGAAACTGTCTACCTTAAGTTCTTGTCAGCTCTCCCGAGAAACAACCTCTCTGAATGGGTGACTGGCCACTCAGAGTAAGATGCCCACTCACTCTGGGGCAACTCTGGTGCCTGGACATACCCCCAAAGGCCTGTGCAAAGTTTGGCCTAAGATCACCCAGCTGAGCCACAGTGTCGACAGCTTACCCCAGGCAGGCTGTGCACTCCCACCAGGTGACCTTCTACCATCGGCCAAGCCCCAGCCCTCTCGTTAGGACTTACCTTCTCAGCGTCATCATTGCTAAGGGGCTGGTTCATGCTGTGGATGAGAAACAGTCACTCGAGCGTGTATTCCTTGGACTCTGAGCATAAAGGGAAACCCGCAGGGTGACCGTGCATCTGAAAGTGTACCGTGGGATGACTTAAGTCAAAGCCAAACAACGTTTATAAACAAGAATAAAGCGTCTACCTTCTGATGCCCAAAATATGTTGACCGGTTTGGAGAAGACATCCTTGCTCTTCACCCAGCTGTCGTTACGCTGTTTGGTCCAGGCAGACACAACACAGTAATAACTGCCCCTGTCTTCCTCTGTAGTCCTTTGGATTCGGAAATTGAACGTGTCTGTACGTTCCTTAGAAAAAATGAAGTCTCCGTCCTGGGCCCGTTGCTTGCTCCTCTCTCCGTACTTCAGCGTCCAGTCCCCGTTCATGACTGCCAGGAGCTCGCTGGCCACCACCTCATCACTGCGCCGGTTCATCCGGTAATACCAGGACACCGTGAAACGGACGCTCGCCTCCACGTTCTTCATGTCCACTATCCAGCATTCCAGCGCTGTGAGATCGTCTGAAAACTCAGCGACCTTAGAAGCATTCAGGTGCACCTGATACTCTGGTTCTGAACAAGAGAGAGGGGCCAGGATTTAAAGAAAAGAAAAAAATTAGAGCCACATACCAGGAATTAGCAGGAGGGATGAGACAAACACCACTCCTGTCCTGACAAGTGAACGCCCGCCTGCTGACTGCAGCGGCAGGGAAAGGTCTTTGCGTGGCCCGGGGAGGGTCCTGTAAGAGCGCGTTATTGCAGAACTTGTGAACGCTGCCCCCACCATGCCCCTCAAGATCACCCTGCCAGGCCAGAAGCCAAATGTTCCCAATGAGAGTCTTGATCTGTCAGGTTGGGGTCAGCTGTCAGTTTCCCCAGGAGGCTGGAAGCTTCTAAGAAGAATCTCTTAAGAAGCTTGGTGTCCATGCGCTACTAAGATTTTCTCTGGCCTGCCAGGCAGTGCCCAGAGACTCCAAAGCACCAGTGGGGCAGCACTGGAAAACCCCACCCTGGAGCACACGCTAGCACTGGCCAGTCAGCCAGCCGTGGCTCGGGTTTCCGCCATCTGGGGGCGGGGGCCCCAAACGCAAGGCCCCCGGGTCACCATCTCCCCCATGTATTCTCACCCTCAAACTCCCCAAATGATGCTCTTTTCGCTAACACATGGAACTCTCATTCAGTTCCACTGGCCTTGAAGACCGCTCACCGTGGTCCTGGCTGGAGTAAAGCCCGCTCACTATGACCACCCTGCTTCCCGCCAGGCACAAACTCTGATGGGGCGGGAGGTGGGTGAGGAGTCCATGCTCTCCCAGAATCCTCACTGCCACCGTCACAGTCCTGTTACTTTTCACTTGTATAAAAAAGCCCTGTATCGATTCAATCCATTCCTGCAACTCCACATTTCAAGGCCTCCCTCCACCCTTGCCCAGGAACTGGCATGGGGACACCTTCGCGGCTTCCTTCCCCCCATCGCCACCCCTTCCACATGCCACACCTCATGATTGGAAGTTCTCTGGTCACCAGTCTGGCATCACCGTGGTGACTGGTTTGCAGTGGCCTCTCCTCTTAACAGCCCTGCAAACTCGCATTCATTCTTCACTGTCACCTCCTCGGTGTCCCCTTCCTGGGCACCCAGAGTGTGACACCCTTCCTCTCTTTCCCAGAAACCGTGTAGGTGCTTTTGCGTTGCAGTCATGCCACTCTGTTATTACTCCTTGCTTAAAGGAGTCCCCAAGCTTCAAATATGCAGCCTTGCATGCAGTAGTCACTCAATAAACGTCTGCTGCCTTGGTGCTAACAATGTTTAGAAAAGGTTACATTTTTCCCTGGTAGCATTTTGCCTGCTAGGGGACAAATAATTCTACCTGACCACAGAACTCCCCATTTGCCAACACTATATTCACATCACCTGCATCAAACAGTTCAGTTTTACTTAATGTTGCTTTTATTCATGACTCACACAAACTATAAACTGCTGAGGTCAAGCAACTGTACTTTCGTGATTTACACTTCTGATGAAACGTGTAACATCATGACTTCCCCAAGAATGATTCAGTGGCCAGGAAACGGAAAGAACTCAAAATCCTAACTCCCTCAAATGTCATCTTCACAAGGATTTAACTGCACACAAGGCTGGACCCTGTGCTGTACAAAGTTACACCTGCCCAGCTCTGCCTGCCCAGGGGAGCGTGCCCTCAGTGACGTGGGCGCTGTAGAGAAAGACGCTAGAGCGTTGTCAGCCACCTCGTTTCACAGGGGAAGCTGCACAGCTGGGGAGTCTCCTGCCTCTGGGCCGAGTGTGAACACACACACCGCCTCTCCAGCAACTGCAGTGGAACAAACACTGAAACGTATTTATATCCTCATGTGTAGAAGCCAAGTTACCCCCCATCCAGGGTCTCAGCCCCTTCCCTCATGTCAGATTTTGGCATAGCAAGAGGGGTACAGACAAGGACAAGCACGTCTATTTCACGTGGAAAGGACAGACTTGAACCGCTGTGTGTACACAAAATCACCCCCGCTCTGTCCAGTCAGGACCAGCCGGGGTCACGACAACATCGAGTCCTCACGAAGCAGCAGCAGCCGGCTCCACTCCGAGTACAACTCGAACACCCTCCACATGTGTCACCACGATAACCTGACCAATAGACTGTGAGGCAGCAAAGAGCAGTGGTGAGGAGCCAGGGGTGTGTCTGAAAGCCAGACTGTGTCTGAATCCTGGCTCTGCCATTACCTGCTGTGTGATCCTGGGCCAATTACTTAACCTCTCTGGTGTCTCATCTGTAAAAATGGGGAGAACAACTGCAACTACCTCCCTCATAATATTATTGTGAGGATTAACAGTTAAAATATGTGCGGAAGCGCTTAGACTGGGGCCTGGTACGTGTGCATGTATGAATGAATGTATGCACGGGTGTGTGTACGCATGTGCATGTATGTGTGTGTGTGTTGGCAGACGTGGGTGGGAGTGAGATGAATAGGGTTGCGAACGTGCTTATCTTGAGATGCCATGAGAGACCAAGTCAAGAAGCCTAGAACACAGCCCGGTGCCAGTGTTTGAGCCTGAGTCTAAGGACAGGTTGGGGCCAAAGAAGGGAGTGGACACCCCCCCCACATACCCACACACCCCCCGCCCAACACACACAGCTAAAACCTCACTCCAAATGAGCCAAATCAGCTCCTCCTTCTCTAACTTTCCAACCAGGGCTCCTGTCACCACACTCCCATCACTCATTCCCCCAGGCTCCGCTCATGAAAGCCACCCCATCTCCGACTCTCCACTCAGATGGTTCCTGAGGCCCCAACTCTACCTCCTCAGGGTCTCTTCCCATTCTGCGACCCCAGGCCTCACACACAGCAGGTGCGTGAAAACCTCACAACCACCCTCCTCATCCTGGCCCTCTGCCTCCAGCCAGGACTATTATAACGACCTTCCAACCCGCCTCCGGGCTCACACCACCACAAAGTCATCTGCTCAAGAAGACTCCCATAGCTTTTCCTCTTGCCTACCGAGCTAAGAACACACTCCCCAGCCTGGCATTCAAGGGTCTGCATCGTGTGAGTCTAACCCCTTTGTCCAGCCCCACTGCCTGCTGCCTTCTTGTGTACAATCTAGACTCCACTCTGATAGCACCTGTCACCATCCCCTTGTCACTTCCTCTGCCTTCTTCCCAATGTTGTCTGTGCCTCAGCTCCTGGGACACCTGCTCAATAGGGTGCTGAGTAAATGACTGAATAGATTCTCCAGTTCTACCCCCTCCTCTACCCCCGGATGGATCTGTCTAAATTTATGTATCCAAATTTAGAAAAGGGAGAGCAGGGGGAGGTTACAGCATGTGTGCATCTAGTTATAGGAATTCCAGCTTGACACAGGAGGAAAATGTCTTCATTGCCTGGTCGGTCTTCTCGTTCTCTGTTAAAACTAAATGTTAGGCCCCTCAAAGGAGGATCTTAAAATAAAGACAAACAAGTGGATTCTCAGTGATCTAAAGGATCCACCAGCCTTGGAGGTCGAATGGGACTTAACACTCCTAGAAAAGATATGATTCCAATACGCCAGAATGGTAGACGTGTGCGTGCTTCTTATTTCTTTTTTGTTTTGATGCATGTGTGGAAATCTTCCTTTATTGCTGTTTCACGATTTAAAAAATTGTTGGCAGCGACTGGGCCTGTTCCTCAAGGTCCATTGTGCACAGACGTCTCCCAGGTCGCCTTTCCTTAACAGAGGAGGCCTCCTTTGAACTCAGCAGCCTGTCCCACCTCTGCTTCTCATTCAGCAAACGTTCACAGAGACCCGACCGCCCGCCAGGCTCCCTGCTCTCAAAGGATTTTACTTGAACACTGCCTTGAACTTTAGTTACAGATCTGTCTGTCTTATGGACCTTGTACAGGGCTCTTTGCAGGGGCAGGGACAGCCTGCTTTCTTCATCTGCATGTGCTGTGCGTGCAGTGCCTTGTACATGAAAGACATTAACACACTTGCTGAATTGGACTAAATTTAATATTTTGCATTAAAAAATGCTCATTTTCGGTACTAGCATTCCACTACTGATTACTGCTATATTCTGCTTGATCTCATCAAGAAATCAGCTAAGAACGCAATGGTGGTTATGTTTAAAAAATGCTTATCAGTTAAAGATGCATACTAAAGTATTTAATGGCAAAATTACATGATGTCTGGGATATGTTTTAAATTCTTCCAGAAGTGGGGAAGGGTATACAGCTCAGTGGTAGAGCGCATGCTTAGCACACATGAGGTCCTGGGTTCAATCCTCAGTACCTCTGTTAAAAAAAAAAGGAAAGAAAGAAAGAAACCTAATTACCTCCTCTCCCCTCCAAATTCTTCCAGAGGGAAAGGGGTGGAGGGAAAAGTGGGAAAAAAAGAGAGAGGGACACTGGTGTGCGTGTGCCTGTGCGTGTGTGTGTCTACCTAGGCAAGGGAAGAGAGATGAAATATGATCAGCAAAATATTGACAACTGAAGCTGGTGGGTTTTCCTACAAAAACAAACAACCCACCCACGCTGTAAGCCCTTTCACAGAACACTGAGGTTGGGCTAAGGCACCACATCCCTAACATTCCGAGAAACAAGGATCTGCTCCCCAGTCTGGCTCCCAGGGCGCCCTGCTCACACACCTGCCACCTCCTGGAGCTGCGGCCTCCCCCAACGCGAGCCTCACCCCCACCCTCACTCCCACCGAGAAAAGACGTTTATTTTCGGGTACGGGTCATTAAACTCCTTTGTTATAACTTTTAAGACAATGAAAGTGCTCAGGATCGTTGGCTAATTTGTGAAAGCAGGTATTTTGTGCCTACCGTGTGCAGGGATATGAACTGGGGGTTTCAGGTTACTTCCTTCTTTCAGTCTCACAACCATTCTACAGGGAAGGCGCAATGATACTAATAACTGGCTTTTACAGAGGGCTTCCTGCAGGCCGGGGACCATGCTACGCACTTGCCTTGCATTCTCGCTGAATCTTCAGAACAGCCTGATGAGACAGGTACTGTTTTCAGGCACATTTCCTAAACGGGAAAAACAGAAACAAAACCGAAGCCCAAAGGAGGTAAGTTCAA